CCCTGGGATACAAAGACAGCATCCAGGAGTGGGTGGGGTGGTGGTGATGATGGGGACACAAATGATCACACAGCATAACGACTCTCAGTGATCCAGAAATGCCCAGGGCGCTTTAATGGGTATCATTAGCCATTACTTACTAGGACGGTGTAGACTGATATGCTCCAGGCCAGAAGGATGGTGGCTGAGGGATGTTTCAAACCAAGAATACCCTCTTCATTTCCTCCCCAACAAATAAAATAAGAAAGGAACCACAGGGAAGGTAACAATAGGTCGTTGCTGAAACGGAATAGCAGACATTCTGGGAACCAGGCCACACGGTAAGGTGAGAGGAGAGGAGAGCCAGAGTTCCAGTGGACACTGGAGGGAGGGGCTGGGGCAAAGGCTTAGCTGCTTCTATCCCCCCTCACCCCTCCCACCCCCATCCAGAATCCAGAGACCTTGCGGGTAAAACCCAGAGCAGGGAGTTGCACCTAAATCCCAACCTGGTTATGAGCAATCTTTTTTTGTCATGTTCAATGTTTTGATTTTGAAAATCAAACCTGGGGTTCCAGCACATTCTGTGGGCAATAGTAAAAAGTGTGCCTATTTTTTTTTTTAACAATCTCAAATAGCAGCCCTACAGTTACTCTAGCATCCAGAAAAAGGCAGAGCCAAGATTTTATACACAGGTGAGTAAAAACAACACCCCTCAACTGTGTGTCCACATGGCTGACTCCTGAGGCAGGGGCCTCAGGCCCCAGTATGCCCACTAGGAGCTATTCTGATTGGACTGAGTGGGGGCAATGACATGTGCTAATTGAACACTTACTGTGTGTTGAGCAACAGGGACATGAAGAATAAGACATAGGCCTTGTTCCTGCAGAAGAGACAGCCACCTAACAGCCAGTTGTAATACAGTGTGATATGTGCAGCCATGGCCCAATGAAATATGGTTTAAGTTATACAAATGAGGTAGTTATGGGCACTGTCGGAAGGGTGGGCTTGTCGGGGAAGACGTCACAAAAGAGGTGACACCCGAGCAGGCTTTTAAGGATGAATGGAAATTGGCCAAGGGAACAAGATGGGGAAGAGTATTCAGGGAGTAGGGAAGAGAATGTGCTAAGGCAAAAAGGTGTGTTTGGGAACTATGAGGTGTTTGCTATTCCTGCGGAAGGAACAGGAAGCAGGAAGTGGAGCTGGAGACAGAACTAGAGGGAGGGCAGACACGCTTACGACTCTGAATTTGAACCTGAGGACAACGATGCACCACTAAGAGATTATAAAAGGGGATGCATGGTGGGGCATGGGAGCAAACTGGGCAGACCTGTGTTTCGGAAAGATGACCCCTTGGTGATAACATGGAAGGCAACCAGGAGGTGAGGTCAAGACTGGAGGCCTGACGCCAGTGAAGCTGCTGGAAAATTCTAGGCCAGAGAATTAGCGGAGCAGCAGTGGGGCTGAGGAAAACTGAGCCTGAAATCCATTTATTTTATTTCTCCTTTCCCTTGTGGATCTCGGGACTGACTGATTTTCCCTCATAACAGAGGACAGCACCAACTTTAGTTCAGATAACTACTGAGCCAGCCCTTATACGAGGCTGGTCCAAAGCTCCCCACACACCCTTGCCCTGGCCAGGTTCACCTCCAGGAGCAACCCCCAAAAAGGTGGTGGGATCTTACAATGCTTGCCTATGAGTCCTTCCTCCCAGCAAAAGTGGCTCTGGGACCCTCTTTTCTCCTCAGAAGATGAAAAGTCCTTCCCCCTAGGTCACCCACCAGGTATCAGATCGTCCTTGTGGGGCCCAGGCTGTTCACAGAGTTTGCAAGCTGGCCTCCACCAGGAGGGGAAGAGTGTGGGGTTCCTGCAACTTCCTTACCCACGAGAAACCTGATTCTGCAGGAAGGCCCTGGACCAGGAATCAGAAGACAGGGAAGAGGATCTGGGGCTGAGAAGGCAGAAAGGGAGCAGCATTGTTCCTGGTGGGTTCACCCTCAGTCCAGACGGTGGGTCGTCTCCCCGCCTCATTATCATCTCAAAGGAGGAAGAAAGGAGCTGTGTGTGCTGGCTTCTCCCCCTTTAACAACTTCTTCCTCTCAGGAGACAGTTCGCACAATGAAGGAGGGGCTGGGCAGGGGGCTGACCCAGGCAGCCCAGGGTCTGCCAAAGCTGCCCAGAGACAGTGGGGCTAGCCCGCCACCTGCTGGCCACTCCTGGTAGCGGGGTAAGGGCATACTTCGGGAACACTGCAGGGAAGGATGGAGATGCTACAGCAGCCAGCATCAATTTGGAGCAAGTTGGGAATGTACTGAGATTCAGAGAGGTTAGGAAACTCTCGAAGAATCTAGGATGGAGTTCTGTAGGAGAAGCTGACGTGTCTGCGGGTAAGAACTTTCCATCACAAACATCCAACAGATGCAGAGCCAGCTTCCAGGTGAGTTCCTGAGTCAGTTTCTCACATTTCCACTTTCTTAGCCACTGAGGGGCACGAAAAAGATTGCTGTTCTCAAGATCTGATTAATGTATGGGCATATGAGGCATGATTGAAATAGACTGGGAGAAATTCCTCTGGCCAAAATTGTGCCCCCATCAGTGTGCACAGCCTAAAATTCACATAGTGGTCATGCCTGTGGATTAGAGATTGAAGACCAAAGTCAAATTTAAATGTGACTTGGCTGAGATCATTCATTGCATTTCAACATCATTCACTGTGCCACCCTACGCTACAACACACACTTGATGGGCACTGGGGGGACAGAGATTAATATGACCCAATTTTATCACCTGGGAGCCAGCAGGGAAGATTGCCCAGTAGAACACTCTAGTACAAGGTGGTAAATCCTAATCCGTTCTGCCCAATATTGGGCCTGAAGAGACTAAACAGGCATACCTATGAGGGGCTGCTTTTAAGATGATTAATGTTGCACAGATGGTCACAACAGTCTGAATAGTAATACACACTTAAACAGCACTTGCTGTCTACCAGACACATCCTAAGCACTTTTACATTAACTCAGATGTTAACCCTACTTATATATATAACTCTAAAAGGTACTATTTTATTCCCATTTCAGTGTAGGAACTTGCAAAGGTCATATAGCTACTATGGGGTAGAGATGGGATTTGAACCCAGATGGCCTAGCTCTAGGAGGAACACAGAGCTCTTAGGAACACAGAGGTCTGTGGTCCTAACCATGGCACCATGCTGCCATTTATTAGCTCATCTTCTACACAGGAAGTAACTTTCCTGACAAATAGGTTTTTAAATACCCCCCATCACCATACCATGGCAAGCCGTGACTGAGCCAGGGATAACGCGGTCAGTAGGGAACACTCAAAATCAAGGTCAAGCGTTGGGTTAAAGAGAAACAGAGGACCTCAAAGGCCACGTAGGCATTGCGATCACTGGGCAGACAGGCACAGGACTGCACAGGCCAGGGTGCCTAGGAGCAACAGCTCTGCAGAAATCAACCCCTATGCCCAGAACCTAAAGATGGCGCTTTACATAAGTGCACAAGCAGGATGAACAAAGCTTCATGATGAGAGCCTTCAAGCAAGCAGCAATGCCAAAGACGATGCAGACCAGATCAGAACAGAGGCCACGCACATGACCCCCCTGGTTAAGATGCAGTGATTTCCTAGCAGGAAGAGAAAGACAGACCTCTGGACCTGCTGAACAAGCTTTAATGTTGTCTGTATTGAATATGTATTATAAACCATAAATATCTCCCACTCCAAAGGATAGGCTCGATCATTTCCACCCTGAGTTAACACCTCAGGGAATGAATGTGAATGTGATTATACACACGCAGGCGAGAATAACAGAGTACCTGGCATCTTAGCGAACTGGATGAATGAGATTATTCATTTAAGACACATTTACTGGGTGCCTGCTATGTGGCAGCCTTTGGAGACACATGCGTGCAACCTTGCCCTCCAGCCCATGGCCGTCCATGGGTCCACCCAGAAGTGCTCCAGTTCCCACCCAGGTGCCCTGGATGGGGTGCTTCCGCGTCTCCACATTTGGGCTTATTTCCAGGACTGCAGATCCTGTGTCTCCAGCTGGACTGATAATATTTATCACCTGTCTCTACCAAAAATTTGGAGTAGAGACCTACTCGCCAACTGTAGCTCCATGCGAGCGGCGCCTGTTCACCACTTTCACCACTTAGCTGAGCACCCAAGGCTGCGACTTGCACTCAACTGGTGCTCAGTAACTGCCTGTCAAACAACTTCTGCAATGACCTTGACACATGTGTCCACTCTGCCCCCGGAGAGCTTACCATCTATTGCGGCCTGAGAAGAGGCTGGAAGGCACGTCATCTCTGCCCACCTTTGGTGTCAAGAGCACAGCTTCTAGAGCCAGATTGCCGGCATGTGGGATGCAGACTCAGGCCTGCTGGTCCCAAAGGTTTTGGATAAGGACTGTGCACCTGTGTTGATTTCTTCACCCTCATAACAACCTCATTTAATGGAGGGAGCAGAGGATGGCTGAGGCTGAAGGAGGTTAAGCAACTTGCCAGAATTATTTTAGATTTACAACGTTTTCCGTCTTTAGAAAAGCAATGTGGTGCACATACCATACCTTAGATAACACTTCCAGTGGGCTCTGGGTCGCACCCCATAGCAAACACATTAAGATGTTTGCAGCAAATCGAAGGAACGAGCACAATCAGTGGTGTCATGAAACTATTACAGTCTCACTTTCCTTCAGGTCAGGCTTTGCTGCCAAACGGGTTATGAAATATTTTCTAGTTTTCAGATCTTTCTGGATTTTGGATTTGCAGGTGAGGGGTTGTGGACCTATAAATATAAACCCTTAGAGGAGAGTGTGGCACAAAGTAGGTGCCGTGGTGCCCGCCACGCAGTAGCCACAGGGTCAATGTTAGTTTCCTTCCCTCCGGCCAGCCTGTGACACCACCGAGCCCCTCATAGCTCCGCCCCTCTCTCCCCCCAAGAGTGAGATAGGCCCCACCTCCTCTCTGGCCCCTAGGTGGGAGCACCTGCAGATTTCTGCTTACCAGTCTGTGTGGGCATCATCGATCACCAACAGGATCCTGGGCCTTTGAACAACAGGTGTGGAGGGAACTGGAGGCTCCATCAGCCCCATGGGGGCCTGCGAGGTCTGCTTCATGGCACTGGAGAAGGAGGTGAAGAGGCTGGATCCTGGAGAGGAGAAGGAGGCTGCCAGGGGCTGGGGGTGCCTCCTCTCCATGGCCGGGGAAGCGGGGGAGCTGGTGGAGCTGTCTGGGCGCTGTAGGTCTGTCATATAGCCATTCGGCAGGTTGGCCACGAAGCTGCTATCAGAGAGGCGCCGCCGGAGGAAATTCATGGCTGTGGATGGATGAGATGGCTTGTTCCTACTTGGACTTGTCTAGGTGCGGCCCAGAACACAGGCCGCCAGCGAGAGGGGGAGGTCGGGTCTTGGGCCAGCAGAGCCAGGGGAATCCTGCTCGAGATGGCTTCAGCCGTCCTTGCTTACCTGTGGCAACAAGCCAACACAAACATTAGTGGAAATGACCTCTACCCCTATAGCAAACAGATAGGGCACCTTCCGGCCCCACTGCTGGGGACAGTGTAAAGTGGGACATCCTTTTGGGAAGGAATTTGGCAACATGTAATTAGAGCACACCCGTTTCACCTACAATTTCCATTTTCTGGAATTCTATCCCAAGAAAGGAATCTGAGTTACAGAAAAAGCTCCCTGCACAAATATATTTATCACAGCATTATTGACACTAGCAAATTACTGGAAAGTAACTCAACATTCGATCACAGGATAACGAATAAATAAACTGCAGCACAGTCACTCAGCAAAACTGTCTGTGGCTATTGGAAAAGGGGACTTAAAAAGGGATTTTAGTAACATAGAACAAATTTCATGCTGTAATTAAATTAAAAAGATCATGATACAAGGTTATAGGTACAGAACGACTACCACCCCATAAAAGTTGAAATAACAAAACTTTGGAAGGAAAATACATCAGAATGTCAACAGCGATGGGTAATGCGATTTGGTAATTTACCAGATTTTCTAGAAGATATATTGCTGTGGACTGAATTGTGTCCCCTCAAATTCCTATGCTGAAGCCCTAACCTCCAATGTGCTGGTATTTGCAGATGGGGCCTTTAGGAGGTAATGAGGATTAGATGAGGTCGTGAGGCTGTGGCCCTCGTGATGGGATTAGTGCCCTCATAAGAAGAGACACGGGAGAGCTTGTTCTTCTCTGGCCATGTGAGGACACAGGGAGAAGGCGGCTGTCTGCAAACCAGGAAGACAGCTGTCACCAGAAATCGACCATGCTGGCACCTTCATCTTGGACCTCCAGCCTTCAGAACTGTGAGAATAAATTTCTGTTGTTTAGGCCAGTCTGTGGTATGTTGTTATGGCAGCCCAAGTAGACTAATAAACACTATGTATTGCTTTTCTGAACAGAATAAAAATAATTAAAAAAAAAACAAATTGTTCATATGAGATCAAAATATCCCATTGAGAAAAATGATTATTTAATTAATTTATTTGTTTATTTATTTTTTGTGAGGAAGATCAGCCCCGAGCTAACATCCATGCCAATCCTCCTCTTTTTGCTGAGGAAGACTGGCCCTTGGCTAACATCTGTGCCTGTCTTCCTCTGCTTTATGTGGGACGCTGCCACGGCATGGCCTAACAAGCGGTGCATTGGTGCACGCCCAGGATCCGAACCCGGGCCACCAGCAGCCGAGCGCGCACACTTAACCACTACACCATGGGGCCTGCCCCCAAAAATGATTATTTAAACCACGCAATTAGACCCCACTTATAGTTTTTGTTAAGATTATTTTATATTTTTGCTGAAGTAAAATTTACTTAAAGTGAGATGCACCGTACGTAAGTGCACAATTCTTTGAGTTTTGATAAATGTACACACCGGCATAAGATTTATTATATTCCTATCACCTCAGAAAGTTCTCTTTGCCCTTTTCTGGGCAATCCACACGTCCTCAGAGGCAAACACTCTTCTGATGTCTGTCACCATATATTAATTTTACCGATTCTCGCACTTCGGATAAATGTAATCACGTATTATTCTTTTACAAATAGTTTTTTTCCCTCATCATAATGGTTTTGAGATTCAGCTCTGCTGTGCGTCAATAGTCAGTCTGTTTTTTATCACTGAATAGCATTGCACTGATGAATAAGCCACAAATTGTTACTGCGTTCTCCTGTTGATGGACGTTTGAAATGTTTCCAGTTTGGGGGGTATTATGAATCAAATTGCTCGAAGGATTTTTTTATTTAAGTATTTTTGTGGAAAGAGAGAGAGACAGGTTTTTCTTTGGGAAAATACCTAGGAGTTAATTTGTTGGGTCATAATGTAGGCATACGTTGAACTTAATAAGAAAATGTCAAAAAGGTTCCCATAGTGGTTGTGCTATTTATTTAGCACACTTCATTTCAGAGCTCTGGTTGCTCCATATCCTTACTTAACATAATCTTAGCCATTTTAGTGGGTGTAAAATAGTACCTGGGTGGGTTTTAATTTATTTTCTCTGATACCAACAAGGATGAGCAATTTTCACGGTTTACCGGCCATTGATATATCCTCTTTTGTGAAATGTCTGTTCACGTCTTTGGCCCATTTTAAAAAGGGAGGGTTGTTTATATTTTTATTATTTATTTGTACAAATTCTTTATACATCCTGGATATAAGTCTTTTGTGAGATACGTGTATCGTGAACATCTTCTCTCAATCTCTGGCTTTGCCATTTCATTTCCTTCTTGAGCAGAAGTTTGACAGAATAAAATAGCTCTTACAAAAAGTCAATTGTTACTTGAGATAAAAACACCCAAATGAGAAAAAAAATTATACCCTAGGATGAGACCACACTTCCATATTTTGTTATTAGGAATATTTTATACATACATGCAAAAATGTGTGTATATGCATATGTATACATATTTATATGTACATATATGAAACTTGTTACATATATCTACAGATGTTTTGATAAACAGAAATTTAAAATTTTTATGAAGTCCAATTTACCAAATTTTTCTTTTATGGTTAGTCCTTTCTGTGTCTGCTCTTAAAAATCTTTGCCAACCCCAAGGTCACGATGATATTGTCTTATAATTTCTTATAGGAGCTTTATAGTTTTAGCTCTTCTGTTTAGGGCTATAATCTATCCAAATTTGATTTTTTTTTTTTTTTTTGGTGAGAAAGATCACCCCTGAGATAACATCTGATGCCAATCCTTCTCTTTTTTGCTGAGGAAGATTGGCCCTGGGCTAACATCCGCGCCCATCTTCCTCTACTTTATATGGGACGCCGCCACAGCATGGCTTGACAAGCAGTGTGTCGGTGAGCGCCCAGGATCCGAACCTGCGAACCCTGGGCCGCTGAAGCGGAGCACGTGCCCTTAATCGCTGCACCACCAGGCCAGCCCCAAATTTGATTTTTGAGTGGTGTGAGGTGAGGTTCATTTATCCAATTTTCCAGCACCATTTATGAAAATATTTTTCCCCAGTGAATTGCTTTAGTGGTTTTGTTGGCACCAGTGGACTGTGTACATGTGGGTCTATTTCTGGACTCTTTTATTATGCTCCATTGATCTGTTTGTTTATCCGTACACCATCTTGATTACTGTGGCTTTATAGAAAGTCCTAAAATCAGGTAAACTGAGTCCTCCAACTTCGATTTTCTTTCTCAAGATTGTTTTAGGTATTATGTCCTATTTTCATATGCATTTTAAAATCAACTTGTATAAAAAGTTGGGATATTGTTTGGGATCACATATAATCTATAGCTCAGTTTGGGTAGAAGTGGTATCTCAACAATATTGAATTTTCCGCTTCATGAACATGGTAGAACTCTCTACTTATTAAACCTTTGTTAGTTTCTCTCAGGAATGCTTTGTGATTTTCAATATAGAGGTATTGCACATATTTTGTTAAATTGATTCCTAACAATTTCTTTTGGGTTTTTTTGAATGGTATTTTAAAAGATCTTGTTTTCTAAGTTTCATTTTCCATTTGTTTACTGCTAGTATCATATATTTGCCAATTATTGTCAATATATTGACCTGATAAATTCAATTATTGTTTCTAGTGGTTGTCGGGGATTCTTAAGATTCTGTTTAAACAATCATATCATCTAAAATAAAGAGATCTTTACTTCTCCATTCCAATCTTAAGCCTCTTACTTTTTTCACTTCTTTCATTACAGTAGTGAGGACCTCCACGACAGATTAGAAATGATGAAAGCAGACACCTCACCTTGTTCCCAATTTTAGGGGGAAAATGTTCAATATCTCACATTAAGAAGAGGTTAGCTGTAAGTTTTTGTAAATGCACTTTATCAGATTGAGACAGTTCCCTTGTAGTCTTAGTTGGCTGAGAGTTTTTATCATGAGTAGATGTTGAATTTGCCAAGTGATTTTCTAAATTGATTGAGACGATTATGTTCTTAAAAATCATTTATTTGCTTAATGTGGTGAATTACATTGATTGACTTTCAAATGTCAAACCAAACTTGCATTCCTAGGATAAATCCCACGTGGTCATAGTGAATGAGCCTTTTTATATATTGCTAGATTCAATCTGATTATATTTTGTTGAGGATTTTTGTGTCCATGTCTATGAGAAATGTTGGTCTGTAATTTTCTTTTTTGGCAATGTCTTTGCCAGCTTTTGGTATCAGGGTAATGTTGACCTCACAAAATATGTTGGAAAGTGTTCCTGGCTTTTCAATTTTCTGAAAGAGTGTATATAATATTGGTATTTTTTTCTTAAATTATTGGCAGGATTCAACAGGGAAGCCATCTGGGGCTGATTTTTTCTTTGTTGAAAGGTTTTTAATAATGAACTCAGTCTCTTTTATAAATCTATTCACATTCTCTGTTTCTTGATATTTCAGTATTGGCAACGCGTAATTTTAAGCAATTTGTCCATTTCATCTTAGTTAGTTGTGAAATTTATTGGCATAAAGTTGCTCATAATATTTCTTTATTATCCTTTCATTTTCTGTAGGATCTGTAGTGATTTCCCTGGTATTCCTGATACTGGTAATTTCTTTTTCTCTCTTTTTGATTAATCTGTATTGCTAGGAATTTATAAATTTTATTAATCTTTTAAAGAATCAACTTGCAGCTTTTTCTATTTTCTCCATTATTTGTATCCTATTTCACTTATATCTGCTCTTTATCACTGTCTCTCTTCTCCTTACTTTGGGTTTAAGGATGTAATTTGTTCTTCTTTTTTCTAAATTCTTAAGATAAAAACATAGATCATTAATTTTAAATCTTTCTTCTTTTCTAATATAAGCATTTAAAGCAATGCATTTCCCTCTATGCACTGCTTTAGCTGAATCTCAGAAATTTGACATGTTGTATTTTCATTATCATTCAATTCATATTATTCTTGGGGATCGGCCCAGTGATGTAGTGGTTAAGTTCACGTGCTCCACTTCTGGCAGCCTGGGGTTCGCAGGTTTA